GAAAGAGGATGAGCCCAAAAGCTGTGGCCTTTGAGAAAGACTAGCAGCCTGCATTCTCTGGCCAGGGTATGCTAAGGAATGGGATAGGACTTCTGCAGAGAACCCATCCCTTATGAGTCCTGGTACCTTTCCTGTCCACATTGGTGCCCGCAATGTTCCGACCCTTTGTACATTTTGAAATACATTTCTACACTTCTTGCTTTGGACAGTTTTAGACAAACAGTTAATCACAGACGCAGTGGTAGCCTGCTGTGGATAGCCCCCACCCTTACACCTTGCAACTGTGCTTTTGTTCTCCTCTTGCCTGAAGGGAGCCACTTTTATCTTTATGTCCTAACTTTTCTTGGAGAGGTAGAGGTGGAGGTCAGTGGTAGAAGTTCCCTCCACTTTCTCCTGCGAGAACTAATGAAGCAAGAAAGTTTGGACATGTGTGTGAGCACAGAGAAACACAGAGAAGAATCTAAAATTCCTACTTCTACCCTTTCTCCATTTTAATAGCTCATGTATTTTATGCTAGGTGCATATGTACATAGCAAATGTACACTCATTTACATGGGTCTTGTGTTCACAGTGCTGGGAATGGAATCCAGGGTCTCACACATATCAATCAATTGCTTTACCACTGACCCCACCCTCTGTCCCCAACATTTGCAAGTGTGTTTTTGTTGCCCTCAATTCCCATTGCTTGTCTAATAAAGCCCATCCTTTGACCCAAGTTTCCCCATCTGTGAGATGAGAGACTTGGTCCTCTCTATCTGGGTCACTTAGAGTGTATCTCATCTAGGAGGACACAGACATGTATCTTTATTGACATGTCTTGAACTTTTACTTCTCAGTCTGCAACCTTGCCTGAAACATCACATCCACTGTCCTTTTTTTAAAAAAAAATTTTAATTTTAATTTTTTTGGTTCACCACAATCCTGGTAATTATTTAATATATCCTTTTTTTTGTTAAATTCTTTTATTGGTACATTGTAGGTATACAACACAATTACATTTCTCATTGGGCATTGTACCTTTACATAATGCATCTTGGTTCTTATTTTTTCCCCATTCCTAGCCCTCCCTTCACCCCCTCCACCCTTCCCTATTTACAAAGACTTTGTTTCCATTTTTTCCATTTCTCATTATTTTTCCTTTCCCTTCTTTCCTTTCCCCTGCCCCTCCCACTACCCCTGCCCCTTTGGACCTTTTCTTCCTGTTTTACATTATCAATTATTCATTCTAATCATTGGTACATTTTAGGTATACAATATAATGACATTCATCATTGGAAATTTGCACCTTTACATAGTCTCTCTTAGTTCTTATTTTTCACCCTTGCTCAGCCCTCCCTTCAACCCTTCCATTCCTCCCTATTCACAAAGATTTTATTCCTATTTTTCCATTTTCTCATATTAATCCCATGTCCTCCTTAAACATATACTTAACCCCAGTTTAAATGTTCCTAATGCCCTACAGTTTTCATCCTGGGGTGCTTTTGTCCTCAGGAGATACTTGGCAAAGTTTGGTGACCTTTCTGGTTGTCACAGCTTGGTATTGCTATTGGTGTCTAGTGGCCAGAGGCCAAAATGCTGCTTGCTGCCCAGCATCCTGCCATGCACAGAATTACACCCCACCCCCACCTCCTGCTATAGCACAACAGGAGATGAAAAACCCTGTTCTGGAGTGAAAGTGTTTATTGGATGCTTTTATTTTTTAATACTCTCTACACTGAGATGGCTGGTGCATACCAGTGATACCCCAGCTATTAAAATGAGGAGCCTGAAATAGCCTTTTCTGTGCCTCATCCTGTGACTTTAATGATGGCAGGTAGAGTCCCGTGTGGTGCTGCTGCAGTGGTGACAACTCTGGCCAGGCTCGGAGGGGTCCCCATCTCAATGATGGTATATATTGTTGAAGTACTCAAAGATCTCTAAGCTTTGGCAGGGGTGCCCTGAAGAAGACTGCCAGGGGAAGGGTGTGTGATTTCCTCGTGTTCATCTCCTGCACTGTCTTTGTAGAATTTCTGTTGCATTCACCTTCTTCTCACCAACCCTACAGATCCATGCCTGTATCCTCTCTTGTTCATACAACCCAGCAGCTTTTCCACAGGGCTCTGCACTCCCTATGTGTCATTATAGTCTATCACCTATGCCACAGCCAGAGGGATCTTCTCAAAATGGAAATTTAGAGCATGACACTCACTGCTTAAACCTGCCATGGCTCCTATCACTCCCTGTAACTATATGAACTAAGCTTTACCTTATCTCCTCAGCCTTATAAACACACAAGTAAAACTTTTTCTGGTGCTTGCACCCATCACAAGCCTTCAAGCCATGCTGTTCCCTTGGCCTGGAGCACACTTCTTTCTTTCCTGTTTTGCTTAATTGGCCCCTAAAAGGACTTCAAATCTGGGTCCAGTGTCTACTGCAGCTTCACTGGCCAGGCCAGTTCTCTGGTGGTGTGCATTTTATGCTCTGCTCTTTGGAAGCTTAAATCACACAGGCCAGTTTTTATTTGTCGTATTCACTTCCATCTCCTTCCTTAGAGCTTCTATGAAGGCAAGGACAAGCTTAATTTTACATTCATTGTATTCACAGAGCCTGGTACATAGTTGAGATTTTTTTTTTCCAAAAGGCAAATTTTATTTGTAATTAAAAATAAGACATAAAATGCTTCATTGTGCCAGCAGGGTCCCAAATTCACAATTTACCATAGAGTCACAGGGCGGTACTGCCCATCTCTGAAATCCCCTGTCCAGCACTCTCAGAAATTCCTGCCACCCAGGCCAGGGCCCTGGATTCTCAGCAACACCTCCAAAGCTTTACACCAAGCCAATAAACTCATATAGATAACTAAATACAAGCTGGCAGCTGTCAGGGTTAGGCCAACAATGAAAGCTACAGGGTCAGAGTGGGCCCCTACAATGAGAACCAGTCTCAAAATCACAGCCACTGATGCCAGGTAAAAAAGGAAGCATTCACAATTTCGGGACTTCTTCCTTATTCTTAGCAGACCGATCCTTTGATTATCATCTTCCATATGTTGGTGCATGATGATATTGTTGGTCCTGTAGCACAGGCCTGTAATTCAGTCACTCTGAGAGGCAGGAGGATCACAAGTTGGAGTCCAGCCTGGGCAATTTAGGAACCTCATTTGACTCTGGTTTTTTTTTTTTTTTTTTTGGATGGATGCGTGATCAAAACTACAGACTTAGGGCTGATTGCAAGGCCAGCCCCCTTAGAATTCAACATGTCAACAACAAAAGGCCAGGGAAAAATCAGACTCTCCACCTAATGAAAATGAGGCAGAAGGATGAAAAACTTGTCTTCTTCCCTAAATATTATGACAACATTAGTCCCTTCCAGAGCACAAACTCTGGTATCTGTCTCAGTGACTCTTCATAACTATGTGCCTTAACCAGCTGAGCCTCTACTTTCTTATCTGAAAACAGGGCGCACATGTCTTGCTTGCAGGAGCAAGGGCCTGCAGTGATGAGTCTATCTCTTACTTGGTGCCTAGCTGAGCTGAAAATGTGCAGTTTCTCCCTTTTTAAACTTTGAATGCTCCTTTCCACCACCATCTCCAGTACCAACCAAAAGCTTCAAAGGGTGTCCTTGACTTCCTTTTAGTCTGGCATCAGAGGCTGATATGAGGCCCTGGCTGTATAGTGCTCACACACAGCTGGGAGAGAGGCCCCAGAGTAGGTGGTGGGTGTTCTGGAGCATTGGGTGATAGGGTGGCAAGAGAAGCTGATGAACCTGGGTCACCAAGAGCCCTGGATTCCAACCCCAACCTTCCCATGTTTTACCAGTCATTTCCCTGCTCCAAATTTCAGTTGCTCATCTTTAAGTTGGGAGTGATTTACAGGTAATAATAGGTTAAGGATTGAGTAGGTCATCCAGTACTTGCTTAACCAATGCCTACTGATAGAAGGAAACAGGAAATTTATCCCCTTGTGGCACAGGGCAGAAATGATAGGTGATGAACTAGGTATGCTCACTGAGCTTTTATTCTAACAGGGAATCAACATTGAATTAAAAATTAACCATCTAACTGTTGTGCTATCATTGTGACAATTGCCATGAGAGCATTGGCAAGTGGGCAGAAGAAGAGCTAAGAAACAAGACACATGTAAACTGAGAATTCTGCTCATCCATATGAGCACTCATTTACTGAGGGTCTCTCGTGCTCCAGGTGCTGAGGTAATGGACAGCAGTCAGGATTGCCCCCTGCACAGCAATTGAGTACATGAGAGCAAACAAATGGATGTTTCGTTTTCATTACAAGGCCTGCGCAGCATTTGAGAACTGAGTTTGGGGACATGGGGATCCTCAAGGCTGCTTGAAGGGAAGGAGGGAGGAAAGAAGTTCATTCACACATATGCTCAGCCACTTGCTGCTGCACACCTCCTCTGTGCAAGCGACTGGGGATGTGCTGGGAGCTGACTCTGTTCCTGACCTCAGGAAGCTTACATAAAGTTCAGGGGGAAGTAGATCAGACAAATTATGAGTGATTGCAGTTGGCAGCTGCAGGGGAGGAAAGGAAAGGGGTTAATGGAAGAGTCTAAGGGAGAGCAGAGCAAGCTGGATCAATGATGAACATAAAGCACCTATTCAGCACCTAGAGAAGAGGAGGGTGGGACCAATGTCTTGGACAGAAATAGCTGCCTTGGAAGAGGGCACTATGGGTTACCTGGTTAGTTTTTCCTCTCAGATTGATGAAGACAGGAAATTTATCCCCAATTCACTCAATTTTGCCAGCTTTAATGGAAAAAGAATAACCTCAAGCAGAAGCAGCATTAATCACAGCTGGCCTCTACAAATGAATATTACCTGCCTATGTTAATGAAAGAAGAAACAGAAAAGTGAAAAATTTAAAGGAATCAAACTTTGGAAGGCTGTGGTTTTCATACTTGGAGCTGCATCCAACCACTTTTGGGAACTTGCTCAACACAGATAGCCGGATGTTTCATGCCTTCCTAGATTTGGATTAAGTCTTGAATTTCATTTTCCAGGTGATGCTGATGATTCTGACCCAAGAATGATATGCTGAGAACCACAAGTCAGAACAACCAGGTATATTTCAGGGATTGTCGATATGGAGGCCAGCTTAACTCTCTCCCTCTTCTCTCAAGAGAAGCTAGGAAGCCATTCCATGTTTTTTCCAAGGGTCAAAAACCTCTGCATGTCAGCCTTGTGCTGTGAGAAGCTCAGGACAGCTCCAGAGTTTGCCTCCCCAGCTATCTACCTGAGGCATTGTCTCTACCCTGACACCTAGGAAGCAGTTCTCAAACCATAGAGCATGGAGCCTATTGCAGACCTTCATCAAAACCAGTTTTCTATTCTGGGATGTTGGGGGGGAGGAAGAAAGGTCTGCATCCCCAGGGATCACAGGCATATATGAACTGGGGCATGCTTTAATCTCCCTACAGGGTGTGGACTTATTTGAGAGAGGGAGAAATTGCTCTTCTGCATTTTTTATTGTTTATGTTTCTATCTTATTTTTTGATTGACATGTATTAAGTCGATGCTCTGATGCCTGTATGCATTGGGTCAAATCAAAGTAACTGGCATACCCATCATCTTAAACTTTTTTTGGTACTGGGGATCAAACTCGGGTCCTTGGACTTGTGGGGCAGGTGGTGGAACCACTGAGCTAAATCCCTGGCCCCAATCACCTTAAACTTTTATTATCTTTTTGTGGTGAATACATTTGAAATCCTTTCTACTACCTAGCTTGAGGGATACAATGCATTATCATTAACTATCATCATTGTACTGTGCCATAGAAGACCAGGATTATTCCTCCTGTGTGACTGTGTCATTGTACCCACTGAACCAACCACTCTCCATCTTGCCACTATGGTCCCCAGACTCTGGATACCACCATTCTTAATTTCTGTAATATTAACTTACTTAGATCCCATATATGAATGAGGTCATGTCTGTGCCTGTCTTATTTAACTTAACATAAAGTTTTCCTGGACCAGCCATGTTTTTGCAGATGACGTTATTTCATCTTTTTATGGCTGCATAGTATTCCACTGTGTATATGTATCACATTTTCTGTATCCATTTGTCCATTGGTGGACATTTAGATGGATGCCACATCCTAGCTCTTATATCCCATAGTGCATTGTGGGGCTGTTCAGTAGTTCTACTTGTAGGTATTTGGGGAACCTCCATGCCATTTTCCTTAATTCCTCTATGTTTATTTTCTGACTCCTCTCCACCTTGCCTCTTACCTGGGTTGCTCCTGCTTTGAAGACTTGGCCCTTGCCAAACATGGTGGTGCACACCTATAATCTCAGCACTTGGGAGGCTGAGGCCAGAAGATTGCTGTGAGTTCGAGGTCAGCCTGGGCTACATAGTGAGTTCAAGGCCAGCTTGAACTACAGAGTGAGACCCTGTGTAACAACAACAACAACAACAACAACAACAACAACAACAACAAAAAGACCTGGCTCTTATAGTTTCCCTGTTTCTGCCCCAGCCTGGATTGAAAAGTGTTTTTTTCCAAGCCTCAAGACTCACTCAGTCAAATGAACTTGTTCACCTGAAACAAACCCCAGAGGCCAAGTGTGGCCCAAGGAAGTGACCAAGCACTGTTCACAGAATTATCCTTGGGTGTAAAGAAGAAATTAGGTGCTATGATAAATATTTCTGAGAAAAGAATATATTCACATATGTATATCATTAGAGTCTATAGAAAAAGTCAACAATTATGGATTGGGAAAAAATCTAGCCCAGTGCTTCTTTTTGTATGATCTTCAAGCTGAAAATTATTTTTACATTTGTAAATGAAAATGGGGAGAAGAGAATTTTTGGTAGTAAGTGAAAAAAGAAATTCAGATTTCATTGTTCATAAAGTTTCATAGAAATACCACCACATTAATTAATTTGCATATTGTTCCTGTTTGCATTTATGTTGCAGTGGTGGCCTTGAGCAGGTGCCACCAAGACCCAGTGGCCCCCACAAAGGATAAAACATTTACTATCCAGCTCATTCCAGAAAAAACTTGGCAATGCCTACTCAAAACGTGGTCCAAGGTAATGGTTTGTCACTAATGTGCAATCAGATCAACACAGAAATTGAGAGGAAGACTTTAGAAACTTTTAATAACTTGACAATGTGTGTCAAATATAAAAATTTAATAACTGGACGGTCTTTTGGTCTATTTTTCATCTTATTTTTCTAGCAACTCATGGCTATCTATTTGGTCCATGAGAGATTAGAAATACAAAATCAAAGCCTGATCCTTGATTACTGATAGTTATGTGTTTTACGAACACTCATATCAAGAATTGCTTTGTAATTTGCCTTTTCTACCTAGTAATGTTTGAGAGATATACTCATGTTGATTCACAAGTTCTAGTGTATACCTTCTACCTGCTGTGTGATAATGTCATCGCATGTACATTGTTTACTCCTTCACTTTTTGATTGACATGTATACTATTTCCTGTTCTTTCTTTTGTTCTTTTTGGTGGGTTTTGTTGTTGTTGCTGTTGTTGCTAATACAATATTGTCCTGGGTGTCCTGACCCTGTTTTCTGGTGTAGACATGACACCAATTCTCCATGGTAAATATCAAACATGGGACTAGCTGGGGCTCAGAATCTCTGCATCTTCAGCATTAGTAGGTTGCCCAAATAGTTATAAATTGATTGTACCAATTCACACCACCACAGCTGTGCTTTGACGTTTCTGTCCCACTGTCCTTACAAACATTTAGTATGGTCTGATTTGTCTGGATTACAGGCCTCAGCTTTCAGCAAGCCTCAGACCACTCATGATGTGAGTTAGGGAGGAATAGAGGGTCCTACTCTTTCTTCCCTCTCTGCCACTGTACTCTGACTCTTCCCCACTTTTCACCTGCCAGCCCCTTTAGCTAGCCTGGGGGTTGTGCCTGGATCCTGAGTTTTGTAACATCTCCATGATGGTCCTCACACAACCCCCTCCCTTACTGCCTGGTTCTGCCAGTGGTTCCAGCTCTGCATCTGGCTTCTCTCCTCCACTTAACTTCCCAAGACAGCCCTGTGCCCATGGCAACACTGTAGAGGTCAACCTTATGAGTGGTCCCATTCACATTGTATCTAGAATACCTAGTGCAATGGGCAGGACAAGATAGGCTACACCAGTCACCACGAGGTGAATGAATGCATGAAGAATGAGAAAATAGACTGACAAAAAGTAAGCAATTCCTAAGTGCCAGGGTGAAGACTAGGTGTCAGTAAGTCACTAGGACCCTGTGTGGACTCCCTGCAGGATGAGCCTAGGAAACTGAGGCTCAGAGTCCTTTATTGTCAGACAGAGAGGGAGAGACCTGGAACTTGATTGTAGGTGTGTGTGATGTTGGAGGCCATGCTCTACCCCTGTGCCCTCCTCCACCCCAGGGGGCAGTTTGTTCCCCCAAACCACCTAGAACGAGTCACTCTGAATCCCAGGGCTCTGAGACAGCCTGCTTGACTGCCACTGGGAGAAACGTGCAAGCCTAGCTGAGTTGCTCTCTGTGGCATTCATTGCGTCACTCTGGGGGGCTGATGACAAGGGAAGGGAGAAGAAGGAAAGGCCGAGGGTCAGAGAGCAGGTGGGGGATGAAGAAAAGTGGACAGGAGAGGAGGAATCTTAAGACTATGAGGAGGAGCAGAGAGAGGGAAAAGGGCAGCAGCAGGAGGGGGGAAAAGAGGAGAGAAGAACAGGTAGAAGAAGAAGATGGTGTGCTGAATAATGTTTTTCAAAATTTTTTGGTGGGACTGAGGATGGAACCCAGGTCTTTGCATTGAGCTATACTGCTATGCCCTCAACCCCACCTTGGAAATGGGGTCTTGCTAACTTATGCTTGAAATCCTGCTTCAGCCTCCCAGTGTGCTTGGTTTATAGCTATGTGCCACCACACACACTAAATGATGTTTGTAGGAGACTGTTGGCTTGGGCTAAGCCTGGCACCGAGCCCCGAACTGAAACTAAGCTTCTCCTTATAGTGTGTGTTCCACTTATATCCTCTCTTACCCCATGCACCATCCATTTTCCTCCTCCTGATCATATGCACCATGACTGCCCTGACTTTAGAAGAAACTGAGGCACAGAGAGGGTACTGTGAGTCAAGTGGTTGCTGGAAAACTTAGGCTGTGCCAGGTCTCCCAGTGATAAAGTAGTATAGAAAATGCATCTGCATCTTGGAATGCCTTCTGAAGGCCAGCAATAGTTGCTGGATTTTTTTTTTTCATCGTTGCTTTTTGTTTTTTGGTTCCCACTGAATAAGCCTTAGAAAGGGAGCCCAGGGATGGAGAGGGGACCTCAGAGCCATTCTGCTCCTTCTTGGGACATCACTGAGCCCATCCTCAGGGTGACTGATAGTGCTTGGCTCCAGTCAGAGGCTGAGTAGTGCAGGCCTTCGCCCTGGGAGCCCTTAGGATGGCACTTGGCTGCCACCTAATGATTGGAGGGGGAATGGCTCCTGAGGTGCAGGAAAGTCTGTGGATCCTGGATCCTGCAGGACCAGACAAAAAGGAGTTGTCCTTTGAGAAGGAAGAGAGCAGGAGAGATGGATAGAGCCCATTTGCACCATGACACAGAGAGAACAGGTATGGGATGAGTGAGGCTGACTCCAACCAAAGTGCCCAGCTGGTCAAGTCCTTTACTGAGAGTGTCTTGCTCAAAGTCATGTGGACTCAGGCCCCTGCCATACCCATGGAAACCCATCCCTTCCTTGTATTTTGTGAAGGAGGCTGCCGTAATATCTCATCTTGTACTTTGGCCAGCTTCCCCTTGGCTCAGGGTGGGGTGGGGGTGGGGGCTCTTTGTGCCTTCCTCTTGAATTCAGGCACACCCTGGTGAACTGTCACTTCTTCCAGATAAGTAAGGCAGAAATGAGCTAGGTCATTAAAATATCACACAGCTTTCACCTTCTTCTGGAACACTTGGTCCTAGAACCTTGCCCCCTTCCTGTGAGAAAGCCAGACAATGTGGGAATCCAATACACGACCAGCTGAAGTCCCAGCCCTGTGGCTCAACCCCAGCCTGAACCAACCTTGATGACTGGGTCCTGCGCAAATTACAGGTCTGTTAGGAAAA